AAGCTTAGCTTCTACCGAACGGTTGTCTCAGACTCATTCTCTCTTTTCATTTCTTTATTTTTATTTTTCTATTCTTCAGATTGTAATATGTATGGTGTTGTTATATCAAACGATTGGGTATTCTGTGTTTGCAGGAGTTCTTGTTATGGTTTTGATAGTTGAAAATACTTCAGAATATTATCATTTCCAGATTATTATTATACCTGTCAATTATAAAATTTCCTCGATTAGTAAACGATGGACAGTTCAACAAATGAAATTGAAAGATGATCGCATCAGACTTACAAATGAAGTTCTTAATGGAATCAAGGTACATACATTGTTTGTCGACAGTCGAATATGTTTGATAATAGGTTGTGAAACTGTATGCTTGGGAGCCAGCATTAGAGAAGGCGATTGATGAAATTCGTGTAAGAGAAATGGATCTAATCAGAAAAGCTGCAATTGTTAAAACAGTTGCAGACATGTTGAATATTGCTGCGCCATTCTTTGTAAGCTTCCTTCACATTATGTGTCATCATGACTCTGCAGGTTGCACTCGCTACATTCTCTGTGTTCACTCTAAGTGATAGTACCCATATTCTAACGCCTCAAATAGCTTTCGTTTCAATTACATTATTCAATCAACTCAGAGGACCGCTTCTCATGGCTGCTGATTTGATCCAACAAACTATCCAAGTGAGTATCATAAGAATACCACGTCTATCATTATACGTCTTAGTGTATTGTTTCCAACAAGAGACTCAAAGATTTCTTAACTGCTGCTGAAATCAAACCGGAAGATATTGACCGTCAGTTGAGGGCAGATGGTTTGTTTCAACTTCCAAATGGTTATCTTAAAGACTAACTGTATTTAGTATTTGAAAAAGCTATTGAAACGGATGGAGCTGCTTTCGTGTGGGAAGAAAACGCTCCTTCTTCTTTCCAGAACATTAACTTGGATGTAGAAAGAGGACAGTTGATTGCCATCATTGGTACTGTTGCTGCCGGAAAGAGCTCGCTGTTATCAGCCCTGCTGGGAGAAATGGAAAAAGTTCGCGGTTACGTCGGTGTTCGAGGAATGGCAGCTTACGTTCCACAACAGCCATGGATTCAGAATAGGTTCGGCTGTTTTCAATAATTCCAAATATCTTACGTTTGCAGATCACTGAGAGAAAACATTATTATGGACCTGCCTTATAACAAAGTGGTCTATGATAGCATTGTTGAGGTATGTATATCATGAATATTCAAGAATAAAATGATTAACTGCTTGTAGGCTTGTTGCCTGACACCTGACATTGCCAACTTACCTAATGGCGACTACACGGAGATCGGAGAAAAGGTTTCTTCTATAAAACTTCAGAAATTCTCATTTTTCATTTATAGGGAATTAATCTATCCGGAGGACAGAAAGCTCGCGTAGCTTTGGCTAGAGCAGTTTATCAAGATAGGTTTGAAGCCATAAATCTAATTATTCATCATGGAAGTCAAATTTCAGGGATGTTTACTTATTAGATGATCCATTATCAGCCGTTGATGCTCATGTTGCTCGACACATCTTCCATCATGTAATTGGGCCAAACGGGTTATTAAGTAAGAAGACAAGACTGCTTGTAACACATGGTTTGTCATTCCTCAAGGAATGTCATCAAGTAGCTGTGATGAGAGGTAATTCTAAAAAAATTTCAATTATAATAACGATATAACTATGAAGGAGGAACGATTTCCCATATTGATACATACAATAATCTCTTGGAAGATGAAAATATTTCTGAAATATTCCAAGAAGCTGATATGAAAAATACGGATGATATTACGCCATCAGAATCTTCTGAAAGGTTTTTTTTCTCTCTCTCTTTTTTGTAATCTGTTTGTGAAAATCTAACAAAGTATCATTTACAGCACTGAGCTTGTTGGTGCCGATAATGAGGAAGATGCTGATGAAAACGCTGACAGAAAATCACAAGCTAGTCGCATTAGTCGGAAATCCTCTCGAAAAAATACAAAGGTTTTCAGCTTTTTATATGCATCCTATTTTTGATTTACAGGGCTCTTTACTCAAAGAACCTGATGAGGAGGATAAGCTCATCAAGAAAGAGCTGGCTGAAACTGGAAGGGTTTGAAGAAACATTTAAACTTTAATTCATCAGCTTATATTTTCAGGTCAAGTTTGCCATCTACAGTGAATACTTCAAGTCAATGGGAATTGTTGTATACTTCATTCCATTCGTGATAACGAGTGTCCTCAGTTCAGCATTTGCAATGTCTCGGAGCTTATGGCTGACTGATTGGTGCGCATATTATTATATGGAAAAAAACATTTCAAAACTTTAGGTCGAATGATAATATTGAAGTTGGTGAGCACATGTCAGTGCTTTATCGTCTCTTAGGATTCATGGGGTTAGGATCAACTGAAGGTGAATTTGTTGTTCTGCAGTAATACAAGCTATCCCCTATAGTACTTTGTTTGGTCATCAGTTTGATGATTATGATCCTTGGTGGAGTGCGGGCTTCTCTGAAACTTCACAAACCTTTACTGCATAGCATTCTAAGAAGCCCTGTGAGCTTTTTCGATGTGACTCCATTAGGAAGAGTTTTGAACCGCTTGGGTAAAGTGAGTTCCAGTTTTTGGTTTAATTTTCTATGTACTGAATTCAAGGATGTAGACATCATTGATTTGAGATTACCAGTGAACTTCCGCTTCCTCTTCATTGCATTCCTCAACGTTGTGCAGGTCTCATCTATCCCAATAACAGTTTCATACTATTCTGCTGTTATAGACATGTATCATCGTCTCCATATCCACTCCACTCTTCATAGCTTTCATTATTCCAGTTTTCATAGTTTATTTGATGTTCTTGGTAGTTTTGTTTTGTTTTTGAAATTTCACAAAGCCTATTTAGAAATATTTCATTAGTTCCTCGAGACAACTCCAAAGATTAGCTTCTCTCAACAGATCTCCTATATATTCACATTTCGGGGAAACCATTCAGGTTTTTCGTTGTTTCTTATTGCATTTCAAATCAATTAACCACTGTCTTCAGGGAGTCTCTACTATTCGAGCTTTTGACTGGTCCGATATGTTCATCAAGCAAAACAGGGATAAACTCTACACTTTCACAAAGTGTTCATATTTCTCAATGATCTCTGCTAGTTGGTTAGGCGTTCGCTTAGAAGTTCTTGGAAATTCTTTGATTTTCGGTTAGAACAAATCTATTTTCATTCCTTTTTTTAAAATAGCTTTTGCATCGTTTTAGCGACAGCTCTCTTATCCGTGTTGGCCAAATACAATGGCTCAATGAATGCTGGTTTTATCGGATTATCAGTTTCTTATTCATTGAATGTGAGACACTCGGAAAGATGAAAAATAATTAAATCTATATTTTAAGATTACATTTATGATGAATCTGTTCATTCGACAGCTCTCTGAAGTTGAAACAAACATAGTTTCAGTTGAAAGAGTTCGTGAGTACACGGAAGTAACTCCAGAGGTTCATCATGAAAACGATACAGTTAATCATCTAGATTGATTTAAGGCTGCTTGGAGAAGCGAACGTTTACTTCCTAGAGGATGGCCCGCAAAGGGAAGAATTGTTTTCAATGATTATTCCACAAGATATAGACCAGGTCTTGATTTAGTTTTGCGGGTAATTGAATCACGGATAAAAGTGTTAAGCTGCTGCTAATCTCTTTTCTAGGGTATAAACCTGAATATCGTTCCGGGAGAAAAGGTTGGTGTTGTTGGAAGAACTGGAGCCGGAAAGTCATCGTTGGCATTAGCTCTGTTCCGAATCATTGAATCGTCCGGAGGACAAATTCTTATTGACGATATCGATATTGCAACAATAGGATTACATGATCTCCGAGTGAATTTGACGATTATTCCTCAGGTTTGTTTACAAACTATTTATGAAGTGATAAGATTGATTTCAGGATCCTGTGTTGTTCTCCGGAACATTGAGATTCAATTTAGATCCAGTTGGATACTATGACGATCCTGATTTATGGGCTGCTCTAGATCATTCGAATTTGAAATCTTTCGTTGAAAGTTTGCCTCTAGGCTTGGATCACCGAATAGACGAGAGTGGAGACAACTTGAGGTAGATACTGTGAAAGAGCGTACATCTTGATGTTCTATGATTCCAGCGTTGGACAACGTCAACTTGTTTGCCTGACTAGAGCTTTGCTTCGTAAATCACGAATTCTGGTATTAGATGAAGCCACCGCTGCCGTTGATGTGCATACGGATGCCCTGATTCAAGTAAATTCCAAAAGGATTATATTTTGAATGTAACCGTGTTTTCAGCAAACTATCAGAAAAGAGTTCGTACGTTCGACAGTTATAACAATAGCCCATCGTTTGAACACTATATTGGATTATGACAAGTAGACATTCTGAATTTCATTATTCCTATTCTAATAACTCATTTACAGAGTACTTGTGCTGGACCATGGTAGAACAGCAGAATACGATTCACCTCAGAATCTCTTAGCCAACAAGAAATCTATCTTCTACTCAATGGCTCAAACCGCCAAAATAGTATAAGATAGGTTAATGTCTGATAGTCTTGCTTGTTTTCACAGTTATCATCGTCGTCAATCGTATGAACTTTTGTAAAATACCAGATGTTATTTACATGTTAATATTATGTATTTCTACTTCTTCATTTGCGTTCTCTAACTATCCCAAGATGTAATCATAATCAGTTATGAATAATAAAATATTATTTTGAAATACAAACTTTTATTCTTTTTTTGGCTTCAGAAGCTTGTTACTGGTAGCTTCATCGAATGATTGCCGACAAATTGATGATATTCTTCTGACGAAGTCGGATGTAGAATATCTGTGCGTCTCACTCTTTCACTCTCAGTCTGCCTTTCTCTCTCATTCCTTCAACACTTTTAATCTCCGCCTTTCTCTGATTTTATCTTTTGCTCATTTCCTTCCCTTACATGTGCTATTAACAAATATAGTACTGATTATTAAGGCAACAGTTTCCATATAAAGTTATTTCAGAAGACAATTTGGCCGAAGTCTGATCATAAGCTGTTCAAAGCTCTTTGTCCTTCATCAGCTATAATCATTCTATCAGATATATCCCCCCTCTCTATCTCTATCGTTTTCCTTATATGCTTTTGAACATTCTTCTCTTTCTCTTCCTCATCCTCTCTCTCTCTTCTTCCTTTCTTTGATTTCATTCTCTGCCAGCAACAACAGCTAGTTGTAGGCATTTATATCTTATAAACTGCCATATATTACCTTATCCGCTTTGTCTCTATTTCTCTCTCTCTCTCTCTCTATTTCTCTCCCTCTCTCTTTTTCTTAAACAAATTGTTTTGTATTTCCAACAGAGCTCAACTGAATGAATAACTTCGATTGGCTGTGTGAGCACTTTCTGGAGGTTTGTACACACAATCACTACTTTCATAATCATATAAGGTAATAGAATGAAAAATTTTTGAATGCAACGTCACTCCCGATTCCAACGGAATGTGCTTCACATACGATTCTCATAGGTAACTTGATTAGTAGTTTTATAAAATGATAGAACAACAATATACTTTGAAGCAGTTCCTTGTTTGATATTTTGGATTCAAGTTCCAAAGCTAATAATCGAAATTTTCTATTCGGAAAGGAGAAGCCTGCCATGGACTGGCTTGCAAACAGTCAAATGGGTACCGAAGCAGCTGTATTATTGAATTTTTTTTCTCGGTTCAGGCTATTTCGCTCATCATAATTGTGGATATGGCGTTTCTTCTGTTTTATAATATTACAAAGAGGGATGAAAAGCTCTATAACATCTTATTCCCTCTACTTATTATGTTTACAATGGTCTTCAAGCATTTGCTCAACAATCCACAACAAATCCGAATTGGTTTTAGGTAGGCATGATGATTACGATGGAGAAAGTGCGGAAAGCGGGTTATCGATCATCCGGAACTATATTCATAACTTGGTTGATGTTTTGTGTTTGTTTAACTCCAGAATCATATAACTATCCACAGGTCTTCGATATGCCAAAAAGAAAAACAAGAAGCTTTTCAGAATGAAGTTCATTACAACGCATTTTTCACTTTGTTCTTCTCTGCTATTGCTCAGCTGATCCTTCATCTGTTCTCCGATCCGCTGACAATATTCAGGAAAAGAGTTTGAATCTCTGTGTTGAAATGAGTTATATATAGAAATTTTTTAAAGGATAATTGTCCGGAGTCAACGGCTTCCTTTCTCAACAAGACTCTGTTCTATTGGATGAACCCCCTGATCAAGAGAGGGAGGGATAACGACTTGGACGTAAAGCCTCATCTGATTTCTTTTTTTTAACTGATTTAACAAAATTCAAGATAAATGATTTGTACGAATTGGATGAAGACATGCATCCAGATGTTTTGAATGAAAAATGGAAAGCTCAATGGTCAAAAGCTCTGCGAGGTATGTGGGGGGAATACTTTCAGTACGTTATTCATCCACTAACAGATTTCCAAATACGCCAACGTGCTTTTCAAAAGAAAAAAGAGGACTCAGCCAATGAGCCTCTTCTACGTGGAAAATATAGGAAACGCTATCGTCATTCAGCTGATCAGGAAGTTCATGAAAGAAGTAAACATACATTCAAATGAGATATTAATTTTCAACGTTTCTTAAGTACCAACGATGAGTGACGTCAAATTACCTTCTATCATCTGGACTCTTTGGCCGATTTTTAAATGGCAACTGCTTGGTACGGCAATCCTGAAGCTATTTTCTGATTTGTTACAATATGCAAGTCCTCTTCTGCTCTAGTAATGGAATCTCTAGCTCGTACGTGATATTAGACAACTCATTTTAGCTACTTGATGATCTTTGCTGAAAGTGAGAATAATTCAATGATCATCGGAGTCATGTATTCGGTTCTAATATTCATTGCGTCTGAACTCCGTTCCTTATTTTTCAACGGCTATATGTATTCAAACATTCGTATGTCTTGTTGCGTTCAAACAATACTTACCTCAGCTATCTATACAAAGGTATAAGCTGTTTTCATTCTTTTAAAAGCTAGGAAGTGCCAGACATTACGACTTTCAAACATCGCACGTCGTCAAAGAACTAATGGACAAGTTATGAACCTCATGGCTGTAGATGTTGATCAATTCAGAACACTTATTCCTCAGCTGCAACAGTTCTGGAGTAGTCCAATGCAGGTAAGCTCATTAGCATAAGCTATCGCACGTGAGTTCCACGTGAAGCGGGCACGGCGTTTTTACGTGGAACACAAGTGACCTTCAGTT